AATAATGATACTTTCTCCTGGAATAATTTGCTTCACAATTTTTATCAATTTTGTATAAAATAAAATACTTACTAAAGTGATTATTATTTTACTATAAATTTATCTAGATTTTATAGGTATCGTAAGATAATTGTACTTAATAAGAAACAATATCCAATTTTATTTTTATTTTATTTTTAATGATATGTGAGTAAATCTATGGGTAGAATTTATCAGTGAACATGTAAAATATTTCGTTCTAAACAAAACGTAATTCTATTGCTATTTCAGTTGTAAGATTAACTATCATTAATAATATTTTTTTTTTAATATAAGTATAATAGAGATTCAATTTTGAAAATGGGAATGATTCATGAAATAGTCACTTGGAATTTATTATGTGTAACAGTCGTAGAGAAAATTCTACTACTTCCAAATGGCAAAGTTCCAGTGTTCTATAATTCTACAGTCTAAAAGTTCCGAAACTTTAAGGTACTGAAATCTCGACATTTTACAGTTCTACTATTCTAAAGTCCTAAATTTCCCAGGCTTCAAAGCTTTAAAGTTCCATAATTCTGAAATGCCAAAGTTCAAAAATTTGTTTAAACATCAGGTTCCAAAATTTAAAGAATTCCAAAATCTTTAAGTTTCAAACTTCTAAATATCCAAATTATTAAACTTTCAGTGGTCCGATACACCAAAGTTGTGAAATTTCCTACATTTCAAACTTTTAAAGTTGTAAAGTTAAAAAATTCAAAAAGTTTGAAGTTTGAAACTCTTAAATTTCTGAATTTCTGAATTTCTGAATTTCTGAATTTCTGAATTTCCGAATTTCCGAATTTCTAAATTTCGAAATTTCCGAATTTCCGAATTTCCGAATTTTCGAATGTCTGAATTTCCGAATTTCTGAATTTCCGAATTTCTGAATTTCCGAATTTCTGAATTTCTGAATTTCTGAATTTCTGAATTTCTGAATTTCTGAATTTCTGAATTTCTGAATTTCTGAATTTCTGAATTTCTGAATTTCTGAATTTCTGAATTTCTGAATTTCTGAATTTCTGAATTTCTGAATTTCTGAATTTCTGAATTTCTGAATTTCTGAATTTCTGAATTTCTGAATTTCTGAATTTCTGAATTTCTGAATTTCTGAATTTCTGAATTTCTGAATTTCTGAATTTCTGAATTTCTGAATTTCTGAATTTCTGAATTTCTGAATTTCTGAATTTCTGAACTTTTCAGAATTTCAAATTTGCAGAGTTCCAAATTTCTAGAGTTCTAGAGTTCTAGAGTTCTAGAGTTCTAGAGTTCTAGAGTTCTAGGGTTCTAGAGTTCTAGGGTTCTAGAGTTCTAGAGTTCTAGGATTCTAGGGTTCTAGAGTTCTAGAGTTCTAAAGTTCTAGAATTCAAAAATTCCAAAATTGCAAATTCCAAATCCTAAAGTTGTTCTAAATGCTGAAAGTGTTAACATTTCACTGTTTGAAAATTTCAAAGTGTTGAAGTCACAATATTCTGAAATTTTGAAGATGCAAAACATAAAAATTTCACAATTTCAAATTGTTGAAACATCAAAATAACATAATGTCATATTCTTAGAATCTGAACGTTCACAATTTAAAATTCCAACATACTAAAATTTCAAAAATTTTTAATTCTCATAATCCAAAAATTTAACAATATCAGATTTGCATCGTCCTAAAATCTCAAATTTTAAATTCGCGAAGTTTATAAAAACAACTTGCGTATATTAATTTGACCAACATATTATATCACAGAAACGCTTCATAATGTTCGAATAATTTGAAAGGCATACTTCACTGCTATAGAGTTCAATAAAAACTATTATGAATTGGTTTCCCTGGTCGATACGCGCCATTAATAATCTCAATCGATTCTCTGAATTTAAAACCTGCAATTTCAAGAATCTATAACTCGTTGGCTTTCAACTTACGTAGTTCGCAGAATACCAATGCAATTCCACCGTACTGAGTTCAAACAGATATAGCATAAAGTATAAAGCCATGTAATTTTCATTGTTAACAAAAAAAGCAGAACAAGATACGATCCATTTAATCTATACACGTTTGTACGTTACAAGAAAACTGAAACAGTTCTACCATTGATTGCGAGTTAATTTTATAAAAATTCTAGGAATAATATTTTAGTCAACAATTATTATTTATTTTAAAAGCATTATATCGTTCTTTATATGGAACAAAGTTTTTATCTTTGATTGAGAACGTTTTTATTATTAATTACAGTTCACAATTTCTTTTTATATAAAGAATTTATAGTACAGATATGATTAAATTATATTATTATATAAAATTTAATAATATTAAATTAATGTAAAATTTAATTGTATTAATTTGATTATATTAAATTGTAGAATCTTAAATTTGTTTCAGTTTAAAATATTAATTCAACTTTAATTTAAATTTTAATTTAATTTAATTTAATAACTTTAGTTGTACTCATTCTGCAATGTAGAAATTTTTGTATAAATTTATTCTTGTACAAATTTCCTAATAATACGATGAGGTTAGGTTAATTTAAATTTAATGCGAAAGAACATAATTATTTTTAATGTGTAAAATGTTTATGTGTTATAATGAGGTCACTTATCTTACATTTATTGTAGATAACTAAATTTAATATGTTTTTGAATAACCTGATTAGACGTTAAGTTAGGTTAGGTTTAATTTGTAACAACTTAATATTTTCAATTGATCACATTTTATGTTTTACAGTGATGTGTTGTATTCGTTTCAGATAAGTGCAAACAAGAACATTGACAATATATTTGCTAATTTCATGTAAGGTTAGGTTAGGTTATATTTAATGCGAAACAACTTAATATTTTTAATATATCAAATTTCCTATATCTTATATTTATTGTAAATAATTATTGTAGATAATTTAATAATTTTTCGTATAATTTGATATCATGTCAATCTAGGTTAAATTTAATATGAAATAGTTTTATATTTTTATAAATATTATATGTTTTATAGTGGAAAGATGTATCATACATGTAGGATGGGAGCAAGAAGATGAGAAACGGATTAAAATGATAGTAAATATTTTAATAAATTGAAAGGAATACAAAATTTAATATATTGATGATAGTTCACGTTTCTACGGTTCGGCCAAGACTAGACTGTCCTTTCGACGCTGTCGCGTTTTTTTATACTACGCATTCACACTCTTTTGTTTCACACTCGTACATCACATACACTCATACCACGCAAAAATGAATTCCCCTTTACCGAATCCCACATACATTTGTTTCAGATAATGACTAACACAATATTTAATAAATTAGGAAATCTACTATGAGGTTAGGTTAAGCTAGGTTCAATTGTAACAACTTAATATTTATAATATTTATAATATTTATAATTTTAATGTTACATTTCATGTATCACATAGTGAAATCCCTTCTCTCATACTTGTTTCAAATAATAGCTAACGAGGAAGATCAATTTCTTGATAGTATAACATGAAGTGAGGTTAGACTAGATTTAATACAAAATAATTTAATTTCTTTAAACTCGTCATACATCTCATAGTGTAGCGATCTATCTTATATTTGTTTTAGATAATTACTGACATAAAATTTGACAAATATCTAAGAAGTCTACTATGATGTTAGGTTAGATTTCAAATGTGTCAGCTTAGTATTTATAATCATATTTAAACGTCTCATAACGAGATCATTTATCTCATATATGTTTTAGATTATTACTGTCAGGAAATTTCATTTGAACATGATGTTATGTTGGTCTGCACTTAATACGCACCGTTAATACCTGTAAATGACATAACATTTCCATACGTCTCTCAGGATCATAAATCTTAAATTTATTCAAGATAATTACCATCAATGATTAATTTTCTGATAATGTGATGTTAGGTTAAGCCGAATTTAATATGCATAGTCTAGCATTTTTAAACGATGATTTTTATATGTGTTTTTATGGGAACATAAATCTTACATTTGTTCGGGATAATTACTTTCATGAAATTCGATAAATTTCAGATAAGGTGATATCAGGTTGTCGTTGTCCAGGCGGAAGCGTATGTCGCTGGGAAGTAAAGGAAGCAAAAGAAGGAAGGGAGACTTAATAATATCCAGAGGGACACCGTGGCGCCATTATCTTTAAGAGCATATTCCCTCTAAAGTGGCACAGTCTTCTCACTATAGTGCAATATCGACGAACATAGAGGAAGAAAGATGAATAGAGGGAGCGGGCAAGTCGGAACCCTTCACTGGTAATCACCGCGAGAGGATAAAAGTGACCGTTCCTTGTCCTCTTTTCTTCTTCTAGTTTTTTTTTCGACCACTTCAGAAATTTTACGTCGCTCACAGAAAGTAATGCTTCACTCTATGAAGATATTTTAATCAAGAATAAGAACTGTCTACGATGTACAAATTTGAGCCATGTAGGGCATATGGTCATAAAGATAATGGCAACCATATTTCACTTCCGAAACTGGATCAGTAAATAAAGAAAAATTGATCAGTAAAATGTTATTGAATACAGTTCTCCCTGGTTCATTCAGTACGTAAAATGTAAACATAATCATGGCCAATCCTATGATTTAGATATTGCAATCTGTCTGAAATGTGTAATATTAACTGGGCTTGAAAGCGTCAGTAAATACTGAAGTAATATTAATGATTAACGAAGGATTTGATAGGATAGTTTTTGATATATTTGAATAAGATGGCTAGAATTATGGACAAGAATAAATAACAAAAGATTACAATAACAATAAAAACTTTCAACTGTGGTAGCGACTTAAACAATTACGACATATAGAACTTTCAAGTATGGCAGCGGCTTAAGACTTCTCTGGTGGACTTTCTGGTGGAAAAAAATAATTATATAAAATTAGAAATTATAAAAAAATAACCAGTGAATGATCAGCAACGTCGTGGTCCAAGATTCTATATTAATTACAGAATTAGTATTTTTAAAATTGTTAAGTGTGACAGATGTAGTGAATTACATTAACCAAAACTCAAGTACCACAGTGACTTAATGGATTACATCAATCAAAACTTTCGACTGTGGCAGCGGCTTAAGCAATTACGTCATGCAGAACTTTCAAGCGTGGCAGCGGCTTAAGACCTCTCTGGGCTTTGAAATGATCGGCAACTTTGAAACTCTCTTTCTTGAGAAATATAAAAGGTACGACAGATATTTTTGCAGGTATTTGTTAAGCACACTTTTGTTTATAATCTCAAAAGAGACATGATTAAAAAAACAAAATGACGACGCGGAATTCTATGTTTACAAATTTCTACATTTTTCCATTCAAAGTCTACAGCTCCCAAATCTTTACAATTCCAAATTTCTGTAGTCTCCAAGTCTACAAATTTTCAGATATCCATATTTCCAAATCTCCATATTCCCAAATTTCTATATTCTAATATTACATCTCTAAATATTAATATCCCCAAATTTCTGTATTCTAGCATTTCTTAAACTAAAATAATTTTAATATCACGTTTAGGTATGTAAATGTTAAATCAAACCTGCCTAACACTTTTAGGACCAGCCGAGATTATTGATCAGTCAAAGGAAGTTAAGGTAGTAACGATAGACAGGGACCTCACACAGTCACATAACAGAGTAGATCCAGGAAGCATCAGAGCTTCGATAATCAGCACGTTGATCTCCAACTTCGGGCAGCCCATCGAATGATACGGTTCAGTACAGCGTGTGAAATTTATACTGATTGATAGTGACGGCTACATCCGGGTCCGTACAATAAAAGTGAGTTTTTGTAGGCATGCAGAAGTATTCCGTAAGAACGAACAAGACTTGGTCCATTCGATCTCTTGGGCACCATCGATATCGCATTTAACCGGTTCAGACGAGACTTTCACTCTCCACCAGTTTCACGTAACCTAACCCAGGTACATCGTGTTTATGTTGTATCGGTTATTCATGTGACATACACTGTCCACCATTAGTATCGGAACATTCGTCAAATAAAGTAAATAAGGCAATTACCGGTGATTGACTATTCAGTAAGAGTTTTTTTGATTATTACATTTTTGAACGCTTAAATTAATCAGAATATAATAACAAAAGGTACTAGCTTTTCGTAGATGTAGTTATAAGATTCTGTAACCTAACCTAACCGTTTGATACAGGAAAAAATATTGTTATGAGATAAGATTGAACATTTTTAAATATGTATAACTGAAGAAAGTGTGGGAGTAATTTTGTTAAAATTTGATATAATTTTTTAAGCAGTAAAGTTGTTTTAGATTTGTTAAATAATAGACAGTTCGAATGAAATTTATTTTCTATTAATTTTGTTGAAATATTGAAATTAAGTAGCGTGTCTTTCCGCTAATACGTGATAACATCTGATCAGCTGTTATACGCAATTAGACGCCATTTTATGTTAGATCAAAATATTAAACAAATCAGCCTTAAAAAATTTTATTAGACTGTTAATATTTATTGTATTAAAGTACATTTTGAATTGTATAAATTTCTGTTAATAATAACTATACAAAAGTATTATTCTTCTTTATTCTTAAACTCGCCGCTAAGCTACCCTAAACTTTTTATGAATACTTTTAATTACTTTTTACATTATAACGTCACATAAATTCTTGAGAACGTCGAAAACAAATTTGAAGCACAGAAAGTGTGAGCAGCAATAAAAAGACTTTAAAACAGACATTGCATAACAAATTGCCAGTAAAAAATTTCATATGCCAAAATTAGTTCTAGAAAAGAAATATTTTCAGTTACGAAATCGTTCAATCAGAAATTATAACTTAATTCTCAAAATACTCCATTTTTACTACAATTCAATTGTTTATCTGTTACAGAAATAAGAAATGTTGAAATCTTGATGGAACGATTCACAATAATCAACAGATAAATCCGAACTTCGCCTTATTTTTAGCGGTTTATTTTATTTTCTTTTTTCGTTGCAAGAGAAGCACCGTTCTATAGATACAAAATGGAGGAAGCAATCGAACAACAGAGCTCATCCGATCGAAGTAAGTTGAAAGTTTCCACGGCAATTTGCCGCGTACTGAAAGCAACAAGAGTGAATTATAAGGCTATTTTAAACAACCGGTGATTTATTTCTACAGTTTCAGTCTAGCTTTGAAAGAAATTTCTCGACACGATAGCTTTCCTCGGGCGTTAATGTATCTTCGTTAAGCTTATATTAAACGTCAAAGTCTATTTAAAGCGCTATCAGTGGATATTTCGATCTTCTATGTAAGTACCTTCCACGTAAGAGGTGTTAAAATAGTAGCTTTTGTGTTGTACAATTTTAAACATAGACATTGTTTATATGCCCATTATATCATATTTTTATCGCATTGTCGTAATGGGAAGTTGCTCAAAGTTTTGTTAAAAACACGTTAAAATAGAATGTGTAATAATAGAACTTGAAAAGATTTATTATAACGGGGTTAGAAAATAGTAAATAAACGTCAAGTTATAATAATCAATATGCATTGTTAACATGTACTGAAAAATACAAAAATAACAATAAAAGAATACTAAAATAGAAAAATAGAATTAAAAAATATAATTTTAGATTTTTATTTATATTTTTCTGTAAAATGTCAAGACAGCCGTCATTTTGTTTTTGTCGATTTTATATTTTTTTTAATTTTGAGTATACAGTGACCACGGTAAATATTATTTCTTTTATTTGTCTAATTGTAAAAAAGAAGGTTACCTTCAATTTTTAAACCATTTTTATGTCTATTAGATTCATTGTATGAGGTCCATTGAACCCTGAAGAAATTCTTTTTTAAAGTATATTATGCTAGTTATTAACTGAATAATTAATAATGATATTAGTCTATTAATTTTATTAATGAATTTCTAGTGATAATAATTGTTATAAATTATTATTATTAAATAGATACAAAGTTATAAATTTCAGACTTAATCATAAAAGTATTTAGCTATTTGTATTATTTAATATACATATATCTCCTTCATTAAAGAGAACGTTTAGAATATCGACACTACTGATATTTTTAATAAAATATCCGTCACAATGTTCTTCTATAATTTCTAAAAATAGCCACTGTTTGAGGGTAGTAGGCCAGAATAGTACCCTCAAAATATTTCAATATGGCACGTTTTTATGTAGCATTACAAAGCACTGTAAAAGCGGGATGATTTTCGAAAATTTCACGCGCCATGATTTCTCCCCGTCAAAGTACATATTCCCCCATTTTTGGCCGCATCAATGAGCTCGGAGATACAGGATACAATTCCGAACGGATTTATTGGTTTCGTGATGGGGTCGGCATCTACTGTAAGTTGCCTACGAGGGTTTCGAGGGTGCGAGTAGAAGCTTATGGGGGGATTATCGCCAACAGCACGAAACATCGCAGCACGACATTTTCACTTGAAACTATTGGGATGGTCAAAGAGTTTATTACAAAATACAGTGAATGGCCGAATTATAACACTCGAGAGATTTCTTCTTAAAAATATACCACGGACGCGACTATAATTAGCTTAACCCTTAACGGTCACTATGGGGTATGAAACGACCCCATCTAATTTAGCGCCCATTTTAGCCACTTTATAACCTCAAAAGCATTTTTTGAAATCCCCATATTTTTACTATTTTTTCCCCTTAAATTGTTATATCTCAAGACTGTTCAGTTAAAATTTTAGCTCTTTACAATAAAATTGAAAAACATTTTGAATTTTTGTTGTGAAAAACTTCATTTTTTCACGTTTCTTTTTTGTTTATGTTTAACGTCTAAATTTACTGAAATCAGAAATATGTTAAAACAACTGACAAAGATTATTTATAAATTTTTTCAATTAGGTTAATGATGAATAGCTTCTTTGTAAGAAATATTTTTAGTTTTAAATGTTCCAATGTGTCAGGTATGTTATTCTGATAAAGTGTTATTCTAAGAAGTATTTTTGGTCTTGAATGTTCGATGTGTCAAATATCTTATTCTGATAAAGTGTGAGCATTAACAATGTTATTGATACTTGATGAATTGATAAGCCACAATATACAAACAATACAAAATATATGACCTATATATTAAAATACATGGCCTAGTCCGAGCATACACAAGTATAGTAGCTGTTCTGAATATGTTACATTAACTGATTGTTCCTGATTTTTGTTTATTTTCTGGATAAGGTTTATAAGTAAACAAGACACATATTCTCTTTTGCATTCTTCTCTACTCCATTTCATGTTTTTATTCCTGTTGGCAGCCAAAAGCAAAGACCGCTGCAGTACCAACTTAGAAATACAATTTTTAGCTTTTTACACTGCCAACTTTACAAACATCAACACAAGATCTATTTCTTTTACTGCTGCTGGCATTCTATCTCTGCATATTTTAACATTGTTTAAACGCAGCATTTTCCTGTTCCACTACCATGTTTGTATTAATTTTAATCGTGGTCCATGACTATTCATTTACAGTGGCCTAAATATTCTACTCGGGAGATTTTTTCTTAAAAGTATGCGATAGACGTAAGATTAATTAGTTTAACAATATTATTTATACTTGATATATTTATAGACTACAATGTTTGACAAACGAATGTGTTAACACATAAATCTCATTTCTAGAATAAGTGGTGGGTGTGAATACAAGTGTACGTTAAATATTCTATGTTTCGAGCTTTTGTGAGTGGTTGAAGGAAGACCTTGACTTCAATTCAAGCGATGTTATATTTTATAGGTGCTAGATTTTTATGTGCTTAGGACTGTAAATAAAAAAGTCGGAATGCCTAAGCATAAAATAATCGTGTTTTCTTGTATGATTTGCACTTTTAAAATTCTTAAAGCTTTAAACTTAAAATTTTCAATTTAGAAATAACCAATTTCTTTTTTTCCAAATTTCAAATTTCCATATTTTCAATATTCTCAAATTTTCTAGTCTCCATCTCCAAATTGTCAATATTTTTAGTTTTAAAGATTGTAGATTTAAACATTTGTAAATTTCAATAAAAAGTTTATTAAATGTTTGTTGAAAGTGTGTTGATGTAGCACTCTTGAATATATAATTATTGAAAATAACTTTTTTATTCAATTTTTTAAAAATAAATAACCAAATTACCTAACCAAACGTTATATTAATGAAAACAACAAAAGTCTAAATCAACAAAAGTAGTATAAACATTTTTTGCCTTACCTTTCATTTAAAAATTGTACCTAACATTAGAATTTCGATTACTAGAATAATATTAAAATTATTCCAATATATTTGAATATTGATTAGGTACATATTATATACATATGTTGTATACGTATACATATATTATACATACGTATAAAGATATAATACATCATATTAAGTACACTTTCTCAATATTACACCGTTCAATATTTTTTTACAAGTTTCCAGTGTGTCATGATTAATTTAGTGAAAATGATATTTTAAAAAGAAACTAGTACTCCACGTTTGATTAATTTCCTCCGCGTTTTCTTTAGTACGTGTCGCTGTAGCATAATTGATGAACAGGAAGAAGGAAGTAAAAATTCTCGACGAGACATTTTATCCTGAAACGAGTCCTTTCGGTCCCGTCAACTAATTTGCATGTTGCTGAGACAGATGTTTATGTACCCTAACTTCTCTCTCCTCGCCTTTTTCCACTACCCTTCTCCAATCTACTTCTGCCGCCATCTTTTTCTGTATGCGCGAGCCTGCTCCCGCTTTCTTTTTCATTCAAATGCCATCTCACGGCATAATAAAGCGAGGCTCCTTTAACGCCTGGCGAAATTTGCGGCTCTAAGCTCCAGACTCGTTTTTACAGAATTTGTTTTCTTCATCGATAAAGATTGTGGCGACAATCTTCTTGTTATTTCTTGCATGATAACATCTAATAGATATGTAATGAGATAACAGAAATAACGAGGTATACAGGGTGGCTCACCACATTTTGCCATCTAGATTTGCGTCA